AAACTGAAGTATTTGGGAGAGATTCAGAATTACTTAGGAGTAGAGGTTCAGAGAAATGAAGAGGGCGTCTACTATCTGAGTCAGAAGGAAAAAATCGAAAAGTTACTGAAGACATATGGAATGGAGAGGGCAAATGAGGTTGACACTCCCATAACTACCCAGTACAAAAATGAACCAGAAGGACAAAAATGTGAGAATGCAACAGCATTTCATTCTCTGTTGGGTTCTCTGTTATATTTAAGTTGTTGGACAAGACCCAACATAAGATTGGCAGTGCACATGTTAAGCCAAAGAAGTGCAGACCCGGCTCAGAGAGATTGGGTAGCACTTAAAAGAATCCTAAGGTATCTGAAAGGCACAAAAGATTACAAACTGATGCTGGATACAGGATATGATCAGCAAGTGTATGCATACGCTGATGCCAGCTGGGGGGACAGAGAAAATGGAAAGTCTACCACTGGCTATGCCATATATATTGGAAATGCTCTGGTTCAGTGGAAATCCCAGAAACAAACATTTGCTGCCACAAGTACTTGTGAAGCAGAGTACTCAGCCATAAGTGGATGTGTGTCACAAATAGAGTGGTTTGCTTGCCTAACAAAAGAACTTGGAATACCTTCTGAAATGCCAATCACTGTGCTAAGTGACAACATGGCTGCACAACAGCTTGCTAACCAACAGAACTTTAAGAGCAAGAGTAAACATATTGCTATAAGATACGGAAATGTGAAAAATGCTTTGGAAAGAAATGTGTTAAAGGTACAGCACTGTAACACAAAATGTAATGTGGCGGATTTGTATACAAAATGTTTGGATGCTCCTAAATTTCGAGACTTAAGAGAATTATTAGGTCTCAAGCCTTTGACTTAAGGAGGAGTGTTGGGATTCGCAGGATGATGAGTAAGTCTGCAGGCTTCAACAGGCTGATGCAATACTCTGTGAAGTGCTGGGTCAGAGTGACTCAGCAGGAATGTGATTGGCTATCACCTGTTTTAAAAGGAAAGCCTGTTCAACAGTAATTGTGGTTGTGGTGTGGTTGTGCTGTGGTGTGGTGGTGCTGTGGTGGAGAGTATTCGTTTGCCCTAAGGTGCAGGTACTCTGTATGAACTGCTTTTGTAAATACTTGTATATAGCTCACATTAAAAAGACTGTGACAGGCCTTTGTTGGGGAAAGGCATGCACTGAAAATTCATTTGTTCCTCACATAATGATTAAAAGCATTATGAAGCTGAAGACTTCCGCGTAGCCTCCAACCCCCTGGCCATGCCTAGACCTGCTTAGATCCACAGTCTGTACCTCACAGACCACGATATTCTGCCTTCAAACTACAGTGGTACCTTGGGTTACAGATGCTTCAGGTTACAGACACTTCAGGTTACAGACGCTTCAGGTTACAGACTCCGCTAACCCAGAAATAGTACCTTGGGTTAAGAACTTTGCTTCAGGGTGAGAACAGAAATTGTGCTCTGGCGGCACGACAGCAGCGGGAGGCCCCATTATCTAAAGTGATACCTCAGGTTAAGAACAGTTTCAGGTTAAGAACAAATTAAGTTCTTAACCTGAGGTACCACTGTATAGTCCTCAATGCTAATGTATTTGGGAGCAATGGAACGTTAGCTGGCATCTTATAACTCATCAGCAACTGTAAATTGGGTAGGATATAGGTTGTAAATCAAGCTATACTCAACAAGAAGAAATAGGTATTTTACACAGGCAATTTAAATTGTTATTGCCTAGCTTTGCACTTCTCCCAGTTGCAGCAATAAAATAAAACAAATATAATAGCTTTGGCAAAGTAATAAGAATATGTTTTCAGTTGCTTTTGCTGACGAGTTGAAATCAGTTTCCTTATTTACAGTATTTGTTACTCCAAACTTTACAATCAGGGTCTGTGCAATCTTATTCCAAGGATTTATTTGCAAATATTAATAATCCTGTCCCCAAGCTCTATAAACTTTCAAAGGAAATTACTCCATGGAATTTTCTTGAAAAGCAAGGGAACTGAGTGGAGATACTTTAATCTGATGAGTTGTCCTGCTTTTCTGCGTAACTGTTTCCCTTTTTTACATTTGAAAGCTTATTATTTATTATTTGGGTTGGACCTTATTTGGGCAGGATCAATCTGTGCCTCATCCAGTTTGATCTCTACCACAGATCCATATTGCAATATGTGATTCCAGATTTCCCATTTTTCACATAGGTGCATGCAATTTGGTGACATGCTGACCACATAAGAGGGGAAATTCTGCACGCCAAGAGCTGTCAGTATATTCTTTAATAGCTGAGGCCTCTGAATACCACGGACCAGGATGGAGAGCACGGAGCTGGGGTTGTTTTTCCTCTATCCCATAAACACTATGCCAAATTTCTAACTGGGGCTGCATGAGCTACTGTGGATGCATAGATTTGGACTCCCTATAAAAATTGATGTAAACTAATTGACTGCATACCTGTATACTAACAGTGTGATTAATATTCCTTTGGCTAGGGAAATCAATTATTAGTGTTTCTTCCCTAGTTAAATACTACACAATGGGGAAATCAGATCATTTCCCAATCAGAGCACATGCATGCAGATCCTAATGATTTATGAGCATAGGAAAAGTTTTCAGAATTCTCCTTAAGTTTAGTTGCCAGTGCATTAAATGAACATGCAGGGAAGCTATCCATCTTCTCCCTTGGTAAACAGTTTATCAAAGCAATGAATGTGACATGACAAAAAAAATAACAACCTTTTTGTGGAGAAAATTATGTGCAGGGCAGAGTAATAAGTCAAACCTTTGCCAGGCAGAGTATGAGGTCCAAAGTATCAATAAGCTCATGATTTGAGGCAAATTGTTTAGCAATTTCTTCAGCCTTCAAATAAATTAAATGCTGGTGGCACTTGTAAGAATATTGATCTTATAAGAATGGATTGTCCACCTTTAGTGATGAAATCCAGTATCCAAAATAAGTAGTTTTCTTTTAATTTTAATCATTAGACTGAAGTTATAAATTAAGTTGGAGGGATGTAAGAGAAGATTAGATCTCTGCTATGTAGAAGCAACTGTGAGAATTGCGCTTCGAGACCCCCAACCACCCCCCAAAAATGAAGACACAGTGACACGGGATTTTAGTTTAAGTTAATGGACAAAATTTAGGCCACAACTTTATTGAATACAGAATGTGAGTGGCATTGGCTTAGGCATTGGAATCATCCAAACTATAGCTGACTCCCACCTGCATCGTGGGAAATCTGATGAAAGGGTGAAACAGTGCAAGAGGGAGCCCCGCCAATGCGAACCAACTCGAGCTCACCCCCAGTGCCCCGATGGGGTCCAGGTATGGCCCTAGCCCCTACCGCGGGGTTTCGGACAAGACCCAGGCCAACCCCTGATTCCTTTAATGGAATATCCTTGAGCTTGGAGGGGCAGGTGGTGGCCGCACCTCCCCTCCCCACACATTGCTGATCCAATGCCTAACGGCCAAACCTTACAAAGTTGTGACGATTGCTACATGGTAGGCGAAAACCAAATGGTTCTGCCAATCTGCTAGATGGAAAAATTCCTACCAGGCCCCTATTGCAAAACAAGCAACCAACAACGTTCATTGCAAGGCCAACGCACCAGATAAAGGGGTGGGCGGGTGATCCGCTGCATGAAGGCAAAGAGGTCCAGCAAACATCGTGCAGGGATTCAATAACGTTTTGTGGCCACCCCCCAAGCCAAGCCATTGGCTTTAGGGACCAAGTGACCGCAAAATGACCAACCAGAGTAGAGCAGGGCATAGCCCTGCCCACACCAGGAGGTGGGAGGTGCCTGGGGGCCTGAGCGCAATGCGTACCCTCCTTGAAGAGGATCTGATTAATCAGATATTGGGAAGATTGATCAATCAGGAATTTAGAGAGAGAGCGAGAGAGAGATTGCAAATGTTGGTGACTAAGAGTCTGGAAGCAAAGGGAGAAATACATACATCACATACTAACACGGGTGCCTTTACTAGTAGCAGATTATGAGGTAGGGTAGTGACACTCACCTGACCTCTGGCCAGCTGCATGCCTGCTGCTACCAGGAGGTACTGTAGAGGGAGTGGGCTGAGGCAGTAGTGGGGTCAGCACAGGGAAAGGTACTGAGCCCTGAATTGGCTTCACTGGCATCTTTGCATCATACTGCTGCCTCTTCCTCCCCTCCCTTTTACCTCCTGGTAGGCAGCAGCATGGTCGATCGGAGGTCAGGTGAGTGCTGCTATCCAACCACACTATCTGTCGCTGGCCTTTTCTTAAAAAGCAAAGCTACTTCATAGGAAAGAGTGCTATTGAGAAGTTAGTTCAGTTGAATATGACGGGATGTAACCCCAGTTGTGTGTGTATAGGGTTGCAGCCTTAGAGAGAAGAGTTGGTAGACACACAATTTCTCAACTCCAAATCCCACCCCATAGCTTTTCCTCCTGTGGATTTCAAAGAAGGTTTCTGTGTTTGTGAGGGTTGTGATTGGTTAAGATGACTGCTGCTTGTATTCGCAAAGCCAAAATTCCCACTTGCCTTAGACCATTACAGAGTACAGTGGTACCTCGGGTTACAAACTTAATTCATTCTGGAGGTCCATTCTTAACCCAAAACCGTTCTTAACCTGAAGTGCACTTTCGCTAATGGGGCCTCCCGCTGCCGCCGCCGCACGATTTCTGTTCTCATCCTGGGACAAAGTTCTTAACCCGAGGTACTACTTACGGGTTAGCAGAGTTTGTAACCCAAAGCGTTTGGAACCCAAGGTACCACTGTAATTATATAAAGGATATTTGCACAATTATAATATTCCTTTCAATTTTTTTGTTTTACATGTTGAGGCCAAATATAACCTATTCTTTTAAAATAATCATTGCTTTTTTCTGGACTGAATGCAGAAAAGCAGCTTTAAATCGCTATTAGCATGGCAAGCTTGGAATGATCTATTTTCAGCTATGTAATTTGCCTCCTATTGTTCACACAGATTTAAATATACACATATATGCATATATAAACACACACACACACACACACACACATATATATATATATACACATATATGTGTGTGTATATAGACATATATGCATATATATATATATATATATATATATATATATATATATATCAGCGTTCACACCTAGGATGGTGGAAGATGTTACAGAGCAACATAATTGATCCCTGACATTTTATTCACTCTTGATGTCTAATTGTCATCTATTTCAGTCAGAAATAAGTCTGGGATGTAGAATGTGATTGTGGGGTAGGAGCTATAAGTCATATTTTCTAAAATAGCATAACTATTTGATCAGACTTCCCTCTCAACCTCTCATTACATTGTGCACTGTTATTAGTGGTGACTTAAGAAATAATGGAACATAGTTTCAATAGTGGGGGGTCTGAATATTTTCCCCAGACACACACTTTTGCAGAACCAATGTTTGGAGGGGAGATACTTTGGAAGGGTGAGATTCTAAGATTTTTCAGGTAGCTTTTTTAATTCAAGGTGGTCGAGCATGTGTCTTTCTACACACACACACACACACTTTTCTTTTTAATATTAAAAATGCAACATAGTGTCATTCCTCTGAGGCATTCTGTTCCAGCTTGGAGCATGTCTGGTCTCTTGTGGGCATCTAAACTAGCTCTTGAAACCATAGCAAGCTTTTAAAAAGAAAGAAAAAACAAAACACTTCAATCTTTTAGAGCTATTTTGTCCTAGCTCCACGAAATGCCAGCTTAAGGTTCCAATTTTTATTGTTATTAATTAATTAGCATGCTATTTGGCTCTTACTAAGACACACAGGCACATTACACAATGATATATATTCACTTTTTATTGTTTTTTTTGGGGGGGTTAAGGTGGGGTGGTATGGGTTGTCTGAAAGATAAGCTAACTAATAAACCTCCTTACCCCTTGGGTAGTGACAGATTACAAAAGATCCAACTACTTTTATGTTGTTGAAAATACCATAAAATCTGCAATTGCATACTGAACACTTCACAGAATTGATTAGTTTCTCTTCAAATATTATATGTCATGAACATAATGTCCCTTATTAAACCCACCTTGTGTCATAGTGACTGGCTGTGGGCTTGAGGAATTAATAGCTAAATCAACACTGAACATTTTACAAAGTGATTTTGGAGAGACGACAGTGGGAAAATGGATTGTTCTGTGCAAGCCTTGCTGGCTGGCTCTCTTTATCCACCTTCTGTACCACAATCACAGCTGTACTGAGGAAATGGACCTTGTTTTTTTAGGTTATAGACCCAGTCACCTGGGACTGCTTGTAGCTCTGCTACCTGCTATCACCCACCAGTACCAAGAAAGCCCACCAGAACCCAATAATAATAATAATAATAATTTATTTATACCCTATCCATCTGGCTGGGTTTCCCCAGCCACTCTGGGTGGCTCACAACAGAATATTAATAATAATAATTTTAAAAAGCAACAAAACTTCAAACATTAAAAACTTCCCTAAACAGGGCTGCCTTCAGATGTCTTCTAAAAGTCAGATATTTGTTTATTTCCTTGACATCTGATGGGAGGGCATTCTACAGGGCAGGCGCCACCACTGAAAAGGCCCTCTGCCTGGTTCCCTGTAGCTTGACTTCTCACAATGAAGGAACCACCAGAAGGCCCTCGGAGCTGGACCTCAGTATCCGGGCTGAACGATGGGGGTTGGGGGACCTACCATGATGCATTTTACCCAGAGACCTCTCAAACCTAGAGGAGGACCTTTTAAAAAACCAGATAAACCCACAACCAATACACTCCAAACCACATAAAATGCACTGGCTGTATTTCATGGGATTAAATATCAAATTAAATATACAAGGAGTCACTATTTCCCCCTCCCCAAGTAATGAAGGCTGATAAAATGAGGAAAAGCCAGTGCATATCAATCACATTTTTTTCCTAATGAGATCAGTGCATAAAAAGGATTAGAAGTTCATGAACTCAGACTTCCGGAGGTGGCGCCAACGGCAATGGCGGATTCCCTCTAATTCGGAGGGAATCTGCTCCACAGAAATTGGGTCTGACACCGCTTCGGCGCAGCGGGGACCCTTTAAATCACAGGCGGGTGAAGCCTGTGACCCTGGGACTCGGCGGGCACTGTTTGCGCCCCCCCAATCTGCAAAGGAACCCGGCAACGGGCTCCGGAACAGAGCGGGGAAGTGGCGCTGTGCTGTGAGTCGTCTGCTTCTTTTGTGGAGTGAAGCCGCGTAGCTGTTGCCGGAGAGCGCTGCCTTTCTTCCTGGACAATTTGGACTTTAAAACAAATACCCGTGAGTACTTAGAATTTGAACAAATGGGACAGTAAATGAAGATTTGTGAAAAGGACAGAATTGGACTATAAAAAAATCTATTGAATTCGGTACGGAGCGGGAAGGGCTAAACAGGAAGTCACCCTTCCGTTCTTTTGTAAATAGAACAAAGCAAAGGCAATTTACACTAGAGCTTTGAAAATTGCTTTTAAAAGAGTGGATTCCAACATTCTAAATTGGGAATATTTTTTTTGGACTACTTGAAGTAGTAAAAGGAAGTTATTTTCGTCCTGATCCTGGAGCGGGAAGTCAGGACTGACGTGAATTTATCAAGATAATTGTGTGTGACAGATAGCTAAAAGAAGAGAATCTTTGTGACTTTACTGTTCCCTTTCGCATTTTAAAGGAATATATATGGACAAAGTATTTCAAGTATTTTGGAAATGTAGCAAAAACAAATATAAGTCTTCCCCCTAGGGGGAGCCTTTGAAACTGTAACTAATTCCAAGGACTTGACAGCTGCTACAAAATAACCGTGGGAAAGCGTGACAATGTTTTCAGAAGTTGTGGTCTGCCTGCTTTATAAAACAAACATTCTACTGGAAGAATTACATGATAAGGTGAACCGGATGGCCAATTCGACTGGAAATCTTAGACAGGCAGTGGAAGGTTTTGACCAGACTGTGGGAATATATGTGGAGTCTATCCAGGACTCAAACCAGGAGTGTGTTTTGACAGAACAGGGGTTTGTGGCATTAAATCAGGAGTGTGTCTTGACAGAACAGTCCCAACAGGAGTTTGATCCTTTGGATTTGATAAAGGAACTTGGAAAAAACCAGATCTGGGAAGGGAAAGTTTGGTGTGGTTTGGAAATGGGGGGCTGGATTGACCCCCCTATGTCGGGATATCTGGACTTTTTAAATACAGTAACAGGCTGCGATATGTTTGGAATTGTGGGGGCCCACAATGTCGGAGGGCCCGTGAAGCATGCTCTTAAATACTACATGGAATGCAGCGATGAATACGGAAAAGGGTCTGATCTGATGAGAAGGGCTAAAAACATTACTAAGTTGGAGTTATCACGAGCAAGTGACTACAGCCACAAATATGAAGAAAAGCCGCGGAAGGGCCATGGAAGTGACCTGAGGGCCTCGGACATAAGGTCACCGGGTTAGATTGAGGAATAAGGACTGACAAATCCCGGAACCAGGAGGAAGGGACGTTGGATAAAGATTGGACTTGTTTATATGCTTTTTTCTCTTTTTTTTAACTAATAGAATGTTTTATAAAGTTGATGAATGATAGAATGATAGAAAAATGAATGATAGAAAAATGTTGGAAGAAATTACCTGGCTTTAGTAAAGATGCATAAAGAATTGTGAAAGAACATTATGAACACAAGAAGTTGGTAAAGTTAAGACTTAAATTTTAAACTTTAAGGTTTATTTTATTATAGAAAGACAGGATTAAATTAGTTGAGAATTCCTTTTATGTTTTATTTTTTGAAATATGGAAAGGAAAGGATTTGCTGGGATAATTAATAACTAGAATACAAAGGAAGGGAGGAGGAGGAGGTCTAAGAAAGAAGGTAATGACAGTTAAGGATCTGAAAATAATGAATTTATTCTGTTTTCTTTTATTTTTCTTCTGTATCTTCTATTTTCTCATATTTTTATTTTTAGTTTTTGTATTTTTTTGTGTGTAAGCTTTTGTATTTTTTATTTTTTGGTTTTGTGTAAGCTTTGTATTTTTTGAAATTTCAATAAACATTATTTAAAATAAAAAAGAAGTTCATGAACTCCTTCAACGGTCATTGATCAAGATGCAGCCAGGTAGTTGATCTTCCCAGTGTTGTGAAACTGAAAGCACTGGATTTGTCATCCATCCTGCACAACAGGGCCCACAGGAGCTGCCAACTTTCTGCTCTAGAATCTGGTAATTTTAAAAAAAAATGCCTAAATGAAACAAACTTCCTTTCAACAAGCTTCATTCACCCCATTGAGAGAGAAAAATCCTCACCTGCTGATCTCCTGCAATAAAGCTCAACAGTAGCCTGTCATTCATCCAGAAACATCCCCTCATTTGGCAAAAAATGTAAATACATGTCACTGTCGAAGAGGCAGAAATGGCTATTATCAAGCTACCTTGGGCATGGAGGAGTCTTGTCCATCACATGCACCTCCTGACTCACACTCTAAAAGGGCACTACAAATCATCCTCAGAATAAACATGCAAAATGAGCGATTTTATGCAAATTTGGACATGGATATTTGCATGTGTTCTTTTCAAGCCAGACTTTGACTCTTGGTGGAGAATATGAGTTCGCTCTGCACAGTTGTGTTGTCAGCCTGCTAATGTTTAGGATCTCCAAGAGTTCACCTGTGCAATGCAAGCTCTTAAAATAGCAAGCAGGGGTTGCTGAGAAAGGACCTGACAGCAATCCTAGTAGCATTGTTTGCAGTCATTTCCTCTATACCCCAATCAAGTGTAGAGGGGAGGAATAAGAGTATCTCCCCCCTGGTCCCATTCTGTGGCTTGATTAATGCTTTCATTTGCTCTGCTCTGCCGTCCTCCCAACATCCAATTAAGCGAGCAGAATTTCAAATGAATTACAAAATTAGAGCAGGCAGGACTCACCTCTGCTTTAATTTTTCCAGTTCATTTGCATCTTTCTCCTCCCCCCTTCCTATTGCCAACATAAACATGGATATTAATTAAAAACTGGGGGAGAGGACCATTTTGATACATGAATGACTTGCATCAAAATTCTTTCCGGTGTGGCATTTTACTGAGGCACACACGGATTCCTACACGTTGGTTCCATACC